CAAGCCCGCGGCTGCGACCTGTCCCGCCGGACGCCGCGCCGCCTGCCTGCTCTCAGGAGCTGGGTGTTATTCCAGGGAAGGATTATTCTGCCCCGTTCCTCATACTTCTCTCTCCGCCGTCATCCGCAGCCCCACAGAGGCTACGACACGGTGCAGACCTTTGCTCTGACCCAGGCGTAAACCAGCCTCATGTTCTTATGTCAAATTTCCTGCAATACCAGGTCCCACGGTGACACATCTGAGAACGTGAAGTCCTACTAATCCCTTTTCTTGCTAAAAATAACAAGGCGTCGTCGAGCGTTTTCCTCCGTCCCTCCTCCTTTCCAGTTTTGTTTCTGAAGGTGCTAAGCAGGAGTGGCACTGCCACCCTTGGCAAGCGCTGCATACTAATGCCAGCAGGTATTACTCGTTGGGCTGTTTTATCAAGGAAATCTTTTCTTTGCTGTCATCTGCAGCCCGCCAAAGGCAATCACAATTTCACAATGAAGACATGTATAATTGAGGTCATTATAGGGAGCAACCTGGAATGAGCATCTACGGAGAAAAACTCATTGATTTAGCACGGCGTGGAGATAATTTACATAGTTAATGTTGGTTGCCAGCCTGCCGTTGCTCACGCTAAACTATACACAGGAACAGATATCACATTTTTTAAAATGCTTAATAACATTAATTAGATCTTTTCACTTAAATATGAAGAAAACATACTTTTTGATACATTGCTACTGCCTCTAATCATTGTTACATTTGTCCAGGGGTATCCTCCCCTGCTAAAAAACAATATGGAGCAATTGACTTTACTGCTTAGATTCTGCTTAGGGAACAATGCTTTTTTTTTTTAATCCTGTAACTGGCTTTTAGTGAGTCACACTCACTAAAACTGTAGCCTTGTCTGAAGTAATGGATGGACTTACCTTTCAAAGGTAAGTCTCAAGCACAGATTTCTGCCCCCAAATTAGGATGCTCCTGCACAAAGAGACCCTTCGTTTTCGAACTGAAGCATGGGTCATACAGCCCTAAATACATGGCACGTTCCTCCAGCACTGGGTTAAGCTAGCATTGACTGAACGGGATGCAAACTTTTGCCTCCGCTTACTTCCCCAAGTCCTGCAGCTGGGTTTAGGAACTGTATTGCATTAGCAAAATCTGCTTACTGCCTTGTGGCCCAATATTGCAGCACCGAGGTCAATGGTGACTTCAGTGGGTGTTTTAATAGATAAAAGAGGCACCTCTATGTGAATCCAGCCTCAGGTGAAGAGCTAACTGAATCAACAAAATCGAAACAACTAATGGATAAGAGGAAAAATAGGGTATATCTTTTGTAATTATTTTTCTTTTTCTCCAGTAATTTTGATGGGATGTATTTGGCCTTGCAGAGAGAGGGGAGAGCAATGTTAGACCTT